AGAGAGAGAGAGAGAGAGAGAGAGATTTCCTCCGGTTCGTGTTCCTCGATTTCGCGAAAGGGGAAAGAAAGTTTACGTACGCTCGCTTTCAAACGGCCCAGCCGGGGATATCGCCACTTAAGGGATATCGGATTCGCGTGACAGGAATTACGACGGGCTATTTACAGGCCGGTTAAGATTCCAGTGTGCCCTTTTCCATCCATTTCGTCGCGCACAACGACGTGAACCGGTCTTCACCCTGTCGGTTTTCACCGTCGACGTTGATTCACCGACGACTGCGTCGTCGAGTCAGACGGCGACGTGTCTCCTCGACGTGTCCCCGTCGCGTATCGTCGGTTGGCGATGGTCGCGCGCTTCAGTCAACATCCACCGGTCTCCACCCGTCTCTATTTTCGGGCACGAGTCAAAAGACACCACCGTCAGGCCGGAACAACGCGGAAATGGCGACCGTTGGAGCTCGTCTCGTATAAAAGTATAAAATTGAACGGTGCTACTGCGAGTATCGGTGCAACTCGGTCCCCCTTGCTTCTGGGGAATGCGTTTTATCCTTTGACGTGGTCTTGGCTGGCATCGTGCACGTATGCTCTTCGTTTCCTGCACGGGCAAGCTCGTTCGTTTCTAAAAGGACAAGTCAAGGGCCACGATTACAAAACGGTAGTCGCGCACGTGTCCCGCCTTGCCACGAGTTTGATCAGCGAAACGGATCAAGCTTTCGCATCGTGCGACACGTATCCGTACGCTTCGGTCTCGACGACTCGACTCGACTCGATTCGACTCCACTCGACTCGACTCAACTCGACTGGCCGCCGCGCCGCGAGAGCCACACTCCACGGTCGATGCTGTTTTTGTCGCTCGAGGACACAGAATGATCGTCTGGTCGTCGGATCGCGTTTGCCTCTTCAACGAAACTCGTACTTTCGAATGGGAATCGTGGTCTTCTTCTCGGAAGTAGACATTCGTTCGCGAGAGGAAAATGTTTTTACAAAAAGCGACGAATCATCAAAACCTCGACCGTGCTTTTCGTGTTCGTCGAACCGTCTAATTCCCGTCGGACACGTCGCTTTCTTCGCGGAGAGAATCCGCTCGCGGTCGATGTTTTTTCGCGATCTTTTTTTCTCAAACAGTATCAACGCGCGTATCTCCCGCGCGAACGAGATTTACCTGAACCTGAAATTATGAACCGGAGCTCTTATCGCACCACTCTGGGAGAGTTAACGATCTCCTTCTGATTTCTCTCGCCGGTTTATTTGCTTCTGGGACCGCCGAGTATTTGTTAAATCCATTGAAAAAACTCCAAGCCTCCCCTTGATGACGATAACTTCGAACGCGAGCGGATTTTTAGCGGTCGATCGATTCGAATTCCATCGGAAGGGAGGAAAAGGGCTTTGCCACCTGGCAATCTAAACATTTAAACAAGCTAGTTAATCCGGGATTTGCCACTCTCTTCTCTACGCTGTCGCCTTTCTCTCTCTCTTTCACGGCTCTTTCTCCGTTTTTCTTCCGCCGTGGTTCAGTTTACTTTCAGGCTGCGAAGAGTTTCTCGCTAGACACGGTAAGTGGAGGAAAAAAGCACCGGGTCGGACCGGGTGTTTGATCCTCGCGCGGCCGCGCTTTGGTTTCTACGGAATTTCATTTACAGTGAACGAAACTGGACACGGTTGACGATTCTCGAGTGCCGGGCCAACGAAAAAAAAAAAAAAAAAATAAAAGAAAAAATGAGTGAACGAGAAAGTTGGATCGACGTAGTACCCGAGCCATATTTTTCCCACCCTGGACCCTCCCTCGATTTGTTCTCCCCGGTACGTCCCGACACAACGAATATAGCTAGAACAGAAAAAAAAAAAAGAAGAAAAAAAGAAAAAACCGTAGTCGGCATTTCTATTCAACGAAAAAAAAAAAAAAAAAGAGTCGAGTACAACGGGAAACCATCGACCCCTCTGTGCTCGTCTGTTGTACGGTTACCGATATTCATTCCCGCGCGATCGAATGGTACCAGGAATACGCGCTCTTCCGTGGAACCAATCCACAAAAAACCCGGAGAATCTGCCGCTACCTGTCTCCTGCTCACATGACTCGAACGATCGTTTGCGTTTTCATCGAAAAATTCTCTCTTCCTCGATCTTTCTCCTCCTCCTCTCTTCTGCCCTTCCCCCCGAAGAATATAAATATTTCACGGGACGGAATGGGGAAGAGGCTTACAGGGGGTGTATCTCACCGCGGAGTGAGATCATTGCCGATTTTACGGAGTCTATCTATCCTTTTTACGCCGCGGAGATAAACGTTTTCCCGGAGAGCCTTAAACCGAGATAAGGAAATGTACGCGATATCTTCGAAAAGTCGTAAAGTCCGTGGATTTCCATAATGCAAACGTGCCCGATGTGTACATGTAGCGTGCACATACGCGTACACACGCCGCGGTCCATACTTTTCTTTTCTCTTTCTCGGGGCAAGGAGATGCACCCCCGAACCTCCTCCCGAGTTCCGATATCGGAGAATCGGTAATGTTTACAGCGTATTTACGTTTCCTCGCCCTGCGGTGATGGGGCACGAGTCAGAAAGAAAGAGTGAACGCCGCTAGTACCTACCGATAGTACCTACGCTCTACTTTCGTCTAATGTAACAAGCTTTCGAACGATACGTCTATTCGTACACCGGTAACCAGCTCTCGGTAAGAAGATAGTCCCCGCCTTTCACCTCTTTCTATTCTATTCCCTGGCTATCGAAAGAGGAGGAGACAGCGTCGAGCGACAGTAGATGATAGTGTCTGCCGACAGCGTTGTGCAATCGATCATGTTGTTACGTTTAATCTAACTTTTACCAACCCCGGTATAGAAATTTAACGCGGTACTAAGAAAAGAAAAACCGAAAGAGTACGAAGAAAGAGAACGATTTGACGTCGTAATAAAAACGTACCCTTTCCCGAACAAGTTATCACCCGCGGGCATTCTGTCACAACGAGAGAGGACTCGCAGTAGGCGGACGTTGAAAGCACGCGAACGTTGTAGAAAACGGTAGAATACCGATTTCGGAGATGATGAACGCTCAGCCTTTGTCCGATGAAATGCCTACGAGGTACGATTCTCATCTACAGAGCGTTTCTCGTAGCATAGTTCCAAGCTCGCGGTAGATCGCGATATTCGAGGAAAGTCGAGAAAGTTGGAAGTATAAATCGTAGCGACGTAAATATCGCTCTTGTTCCATCCTCGAGCGAGTAGATTTTTTACCGCAGAAGGATTGAACTTATCGTCGTACGTCGGACGTGCACCTACTTCTTTCTCTCATCGTGAATCGCGACTGTCTCGTCGCGTACGAAAGTATCGCCTAAAATCAAGAACTCGAGCGAAGTGTCGTGGGATCGAGAGAGTCTTTCGTTCTCGTGGCAGCTCGATCGAATCGTCGCGAAACAGACACGCATGGACATGTCGTGTTCGAGAGACGTGGACACTTTCGAGGAGACAAAATCCATACACGGAGAGAGACACGCGCCCACGCACGCGGGAATTCTCGCGGAAGAGAAGCGGCAGCGGAGACCGCTCCTCCCGGTACCGATACGCTCGACCGACAAAAAAAGGAAAAGGGAAAACAAAGAAAAAAAGAATTATGCAGCTGCCCTCGAGGAGCTGGACCGAAATTTGCATCCGCGAACCGTGACTACCGCTCGTATATCCTACCCGGTTGACGAGAAAGCCTGCGGACCCGTGTAATGGCTCACGTACGTGAACCCGAGCACGCGGCTGAAATTTAAACCGTCACTACCACCAGCATCCCTAGTATCACCGCCGCCGCCACCACCACCATCACTACCACCACCACCACCACCACCACCACCACCACCACCACTGGCCAACACTACCACCACTGCGTTCGGTATCGCAGCATGCAATATCACTACCCACCCTTCGCCGTTTCGTCGGTGTCGCGAAAGAGAGAGGTAACACAGGGCCGACGGTTGCAAGAGTACAGGCAAAGAGTCGTAGGAGACAGGTCGAGAAGCCCGGACCGGCGTCGATTCGTTTCGAACGGTTGTAGAATTCACGGAGATGATCGAGCTTCGTACACCGTGGTGACGTGGAATTTCGGCGTTTCATCCATTTCTCTTCCGAATATTCGCCCGCTTCCGGCTCGCCGCCGGGAATTTTACCCGTGTTGGAAGTAACAGTTTCGTCGCGCGACCGGGGAACTCGCCAGCAAGCGTCCTCGTAGCTCCGTTTTCACTCGTAGCCGTCCGTGAAACGCACCGCACCGCACCGCACCGCACCGCACCGCACCGTACAGAGGCAACGAGCGTGCGTCCGACCGACCAACGGAGGAACAGAGAGGGTTGAAAGAGAAACGGAATTCGCGAGAAGAGCAGCGTGCTTCGACCGGGCGTTCCTCGGTCCTCCTCTGCCGCACGACGACTGAATCTTCGGGGTGGACTGGGGAGGCTGCGCGCAGGGTCGGCCCCGCTCGTTCCGGTACCCCGACTCTTTCTCTCTACCGCTTTCTCTGTCATATTCTCTCTCTCCTTTCTCTCTCTCTCTCTCTCTCTTTCTCACTCTCCCTTTCTATCTCTCTTCTCTCTCTCTCTTTCTCTCGTTTCTTCTTCCTAAACCATCTCAGTCGCATCTGCTTGACATTTCTTCTTCCCTACCAAGCGATGGGTGGGTGTTCGATCCCCCTCTGTCGCGAATTTTTAAGCATTTACCTAATGACATATGAAGATCCTGCACCCTGACGCATTTTTTGAGAGTGCCGCGAAGACATTTGTAGATGCGTTGACAAATTCTCAGCCAAGTGAAAGGACTGCAGTGTTGTGAAAGTATGGGCGGGATAGCCTGGGAGGTTCGCAGACCTCTGATACATTATTTCGCACAAAGATACTGCAACGGAGGCACATTGAACACACGCCGAAATTATTACCGTCTGGCCAACTCGACGAGAATTTAGAGATTCCAAATATTTTGTTAAATCGGGAATTCATTCCGCGGCCCGGTGGAAATTCGTAAATTCGACGTTAATTTCATAGAATTGAATTCAAAGCCGCTCGAAATTTATTGCGTACAGCATCGTAGAAACGAGTCGATCCCCTGCCTCGCCTCACGTTGTTCCTCTCTTCGACCAATTCCACCCCCCCCCCCCTCGTTCTCGCTCTTTCTCTTCTTTTATTTTTTCTACGTGCCTCATTTTCCTGCGTCGTTCTCACCTCCGTTTTTCTAGCTTGTCTCGTTGAATTCTTCGTCGTTGCATTTCTCTCTTTACTTCCTTTTCCCGTTCCTACCCTTGTTTCCTGGTTTTCTCTCGATTTCTTCATCTCTCGTTCTTCTCTTTTCCCACCCCTGCCCCTCACGTTTGTTTTTCTCTCCCTCGTTCATCTCCCTGTCTCGTCTCTTTCTCCGTCCACCACCTTTCGGGCAGATAGCGACGTTGGTGGGTCCGGGGGCGGGTGGAGGAAGCAGCGGCGGAGATGGTGGCGAGCCGAACTACGGGGCAGATAGGGATGCTGCTAACTTTTAGGATTTCTCTTTGTAGAAAGACGCGTTTATCTCGGGTTCAAAGGCAGCTGGAATTTTTAGCCGCGTTACACCGAATACCAGCGGTACTTTTTTATGAAAAGGTCGTCCATGAATTTCTACTATTTCAAAATTTATGCCGTTTCCCTCCTTCCTCGGCCTTTCCTCGGTGATTAATAGTCGAAAAGAGGGTCGACGACGACGACGAGGAGGAAGAAGAAGAAGAAGAAGAAGAAGAAGAAAAAGAAGAAGAAAAATAAGAAAAAGAAGAAGTATCCGTGCTCGTTCGTGCGCGTTTGTTCAAATTACGTTTATCTACACTTCCACTTGGCACGTGTCGCGAAACAATTGCGGTTCCTTTTCCTTTTCCCCATCCGATTCTCGTCATACTCGTGAGTTAATCGCGGGGCGTTTAATAGCACGACACGAATGGGGAAAGTCGCCGAGGAAGAAATGGAGAAAGAGCCAAATCAAGTACTATGCGGCGAGACCGTACTTGTTGAAAGTTGCCCAATGATCTTTCTCTGATTCGATAAGCGTGCAGTAGAACCTACGGGTGAGGGGGGAGAAAGCAAACCGCGGGAAAGCGAACGAGGGGTGGGGGGTGAGGGCGAAAATATCGAATAAATCGAGTTTCTGTTTGCGCTTGAATCGCAGGAGACAATAACTCGACAATTACCAGGCAAAGTGAAAGAAAGTAGGGAGCCGCGAATTTTCTCGGTTACGAGTGTACGAAGTACACGCGGAGGGAAATTTTTGCAAAACCCGGAAAGAGTTTTTGCTACCAGTGGATGACGCTCGCTCGCGTTCTCAAGAGGGCCGTTTCCGTTCTCTCGAGTGCTTATCTTCGCGAATCGCGCACGTACGGCAATTTCAGGCAAATTGTTTGTAGCTAACCGTCTGCGGATTCAAACGAGCCTATTACCGCTTCAAAACGCGTTTATCCGCCTCGCTTCGCACCGCGATGATATTCTAGGAAGATCGAAATTCTTCGAGTTCCGAGATCGTTCTATTGTGAGTGCTTTGCTCCTCTTTGCTGCGCAAAGGTTGTTAGCCGGTCGTGGGGTCCACGCGTTTCGTCGATCGTCGCGTATTCCGACGGGTTTACATCTGTGGTAAATTACTCAAGATGCCCATGATGCGTTCGTGAACACGCGTGCAACATTGTTAAAAAGCTCGATTGAACGTCAAGCCTAACTCGGTAAAGCGTAAATGTTTTCGAAATGCAAGCTCGTGGCCAGGTATTTATTGTATTTCTATTGGCGGATCGATCGGTCGAATTTCGCTGTATTTCCGTATGAATCACGGCCGCGGCACGTAGCAAACGACCTGTGTCGTATTTGACAATACGCTTGGATCGTCCGTGGCATTTCAAATATTCATCTCTCGACGCGCAGGTTGAAAGTACGAGAGTGTAGTCACTCGACGGCTTGTTTTTCGGGAAATTAACGACCGCTATTAAATGCGTTCCGGGGCAGTTGCACCCGAGCCCGTAATTAACACGTCGCACGCGGAACAAAGTGATTTGCAAATATTTGGCAATTTCGAATATGATCGTAGCATGTTTCGAAACCTGTAATACGCTGTTCGTGACGCGCCACACACGTTTCGCTGCGTTGCCAAAAATTTGCCCGTCCGGAGAAGGCGCAGCTCGCAAACGTCGTTTTGCCGACGTTTTTATCGATTCTCTTTGCTCTTCTTGCGATTCTCCCAGAGACAGAGGAGAGTATCGACTGGTCCTCATGAAACTTTCGTCATGCAAACAGATTCAGAGATCTCCTTATGCTGTCGACCAGCTACATAACGGGTTGATTTATATACCGTGGCTTCTCACCGCGCCTAGTTTCTCGCCGTTCGAAAGAACAGATACTTTCGTTCTCTCATTCTGAAATTGACTCGCCCCGGGGGATGCATCGTCTCGACGAACAAGGCAATATAAACCGACGCGCCGAACACGGAATACGTTCCGCGATACGAGAGATATGACTTCGTCCGGGCGCGTTCGCTGCAACTCTTTTTATTTCTTCTTTTTTTTTTTTTTTTTTTTTTTTTATTTTCCGTTGAAACTGTTGTTACGCTCCATTTTATCTATTTTTACGGTTCGCGTTGTTTTTAACGTAACGCTCCGCTTCCGAATTCTAGCGCGACCTCCGCCATCCCTTCGCCAACGTTCGATCCCTCCCTATTAAATTTCATTGCGCGTCCGCAACCAATCTGGCCAACAAGCGGTCTTTCGAATTCGAATCGGGGAAATTATCGAACGTGTTTCCACCTTGCGAGTTCATGGACGCGCAGGTATTTCGTCGTCGAAGGATCGCGTTATCTCGCGATGCTTTCTGCCACAGCTCGAACTTTTTCTCCCCCTAGTTTTTCTTTCGTCCGCTCGGTTTTCTCTTGTTACGATCGCGAATGTTCCAGCGTCTCGAAGAGATGCAAACATTTGATCTGAAATGATACTAACGCGATTCTCCACTCGTCAATCGGACCTTTGGGCAACTTTAACGCCGACGTAAACATAACGGCGCGTGCCGAGCCGCGTCGCGCCGACACTCGCCAGCTCGATGGTTTGTTCGTCGACCTCTCGTTCAAAGAAAGGAGAAGAGTTTATAAATATTTCGCGGTTTCACAGCGCGACCCTTCCAGCTCCGCGCGTTAGAAAATAATGTCTGGAGAGAGGTTTGCTCGGACGGGGGCAAGCCATGGAGCAGGTTCAACCCTTCCGGGATCGATAAACAAATTTCGAGCATGGCAGAAAGGAGCACGCGTGCACGGCTCGTGCATTGTTTGGCCAGCTGTTCGATTGTCATCGGATTCGTTCGATATTCCTTCGATCGTCGATCTTTGGATATCTCCACGAAAAAAGAAACTTTTGTTTCGAACCAAGCGGGGATCTGGTACATTTTCGTGTTTTATCTGTGTTCTCCCTCTGGCGCGTAAACGCGACGAAGCGACAGCTAGACGCGGCTGTTCATCTCTTGAAAGATGTATCCCGGCCGAAGAAAAATCCTTAGTTAGCTCGACTGTGCCGAGAAAATTGGACACCAGAGGTTCTCTCGTGTAACTGATTCAATTACTGTCTGGTTTATTGCGCGTCTCGAGCATTCATCGCGATGAAAGGGGCAAGGGGGGGAGGAGGAGGGAGAAAAGCCGGTTGCGGAAGTGGCTGTTCGAGTGGTGCCGTTTGATCGAAAACTTTATGCGTTTCTTAATATCTCCGCAGCGAAAAATGAGTCATAATTCCGAGATTACAGCCGGCTGCGTTTATTTTCACCGTTTTATGCACGAGCTCGTGGGTCGAGGAGAATCCAGAGGGAAGGAAGGACAGGATTTCTCGAGCAGTTCTCGGTAATAATTTTGATATAATCACGAGGCGAGAGCGCCTATGTTGGAAAACGGGAACGGAAGTCGGTTACTGAACCGCGAGCTACGAGTAGCAGTGGCGAACTGTTGCCTACGCCGTGCGCGTAGATTTGTACGTTAGTTTTGAACAGTCGTAACCGCATCCGGAAGTACGAGTATCGTGTACACCTGCGTTTACAGTATTACGTGACGTGTCGTTGTTACGATCGATGATACGATGTGACATGTGTGTTACACAGT